AAGAACAGAAAATTGAACACAACTAAAGCATACCTGCCAATTCTTACCTTCAAGATTGAGCTTTAGGGGGATTGTATGCAGCAATTATTTATTTATGTATCCCAGAATGGTTTCCCTCTCATCGACTAGGGAGTACTTCTCCCCTCTCTCAGTGTAAATACAGTCTAGGAAAACTAGATCATTTCAAGGAGACTGGGACCAACTCTTCCCCTAAAATCATAAGATTTGGTGATTAGTCAATGTTTGGGGTTATAAAAATTATAATCTATCTTGTGTTTTCCTAATCAGATTGGTAGTTCCCTGAGGATGAAAATAGTGCCTTGACTGCCATCATTTTTTCTCTGTGGCATGGAACACATCACTGTAGAATCAAATTCTCAGCTTCTTCAGAGCCTCCTTGAAATCTTCATTTTTGAGGCTGTAGATAAGCAAATTACACAAGGGACTAACAACAATATAGAACAAAGAGAAGCTTTTGTTGAGAGCTGACACCTGGCTAGCCGTGGGCAGAGCATAGGTCAGAATAAAGTTTCCATAAAACAAAATCACAATCACTAGATGAGAGGAGCAAGCGGAGATTGCCTTTTGCCTACCAATCATGCAAGGTATAAGCAAGACTGTTGAAAGAATCTTCCAGTAGGAGATTAGGGTTAGACCAAAGGGAACCAGGGTTGCCAGCATGTTAAGACTAATGCAGATAAGATTGATCAGATGGGGATCTGAGCGGGAGAGCTTCTGTAGAGTTTTCAAGTCACAAAAGAAGTGATCAATCTCATTGCCACCATAGAAAGTCAAGCTGGATACCATAGCAGCCTGGAATGCAGCTGCCACTGTGAAGCCACTAACCCATGACTAGTTACTAGCCCCACACACATGGTTCCATGCATTAGTGTCAGATAATGCAAGGGCCTGCAGACAGCTAGGTAGCCAGGTACTGGTCATATGATATCACTACCAGTAGATAATATTCAGTACTTCCCAAAGAAGTAGAGCTGAATAATACAACCCACAGTGAAGATCACTCTGTTTTCCCTCAACAAGTCCACCAGCATCCTGGGTAGAATGTTGGAACCTCTCTGGACATGAGAGGTCCCCCAGAAGGAAGTATATTGGAGTCTGGAGTCCCCGATGAGTGCTCACCAGGAGAAGATTCCCCAAAACGGTGGCTATGTAGACAATGCCAAACAGCAGGAAGAGCAAGGGAATCAATTCCTTGAGGTCTCCAAACCCCAGTGTGATAAACTCAGTCATCATCATAGTGGTATTTCCTGGCTCCACAGAGGTTAGAAATTCCTGAGGAAGTGTCAGCTTCTCCACACCAATATGTCAGATCACTCTACCACTTAGATTTCTCAAACAGTGCAGTTCTATCACTGGTTAGAGTACTGTACTGATTGAGGATTGGTCCTCAACAAGACCAGTTAAATTTGCCCTCAGAAAACTGTTTCTAGAAATTAGGTGAACCTATCATCTGGTCGGAGAGTGGAATAGGGATGAGGAGACTAAATGAGAGAAGGAATGACTCAGTACAAATCTATCTCCATCCCTACGGAAACAATTTAGAACACGACTGTACTGGTAGCAGGTTAAGCCCCACAAATTCACATTGAAAGGAGATGTGTAGAGTCCGTGTTTGGAATCTTTTAGGCTATTTTATTTTATTTTTTTATTATTTTTATTTTGTCAATATACAATGTAGTTGATTATTATGTCCCATCACCGAAACCTCCCTCCCTCCTCCCTCTCCCCCCTCCCACCCAAGTGTGTCCCCTCCATTTGCTTGTTGTAAGAGCTTCAAAAAAAAAAAATAATTGTGGTTGTTATATCTTCCTCCCCCCCCCCCGGTTTTTTTGGGTTTTGTTGTTGTTGTTGTTTGTTTGTTTTTAGTCTATTTTAAACAGAAGAAATTCACAAGGAAAATCCTTACTAAATGTTGACAATTCAAAGAAATGGTGGACCAGGTAGCAAATCATAATTGACTTTCTTTTTTTTTTCAAATAATTACTTTAATTGATTAATGCTTGTAACTACATACATGTCAGTGCCCCTTGTGGTTCAGTCTCAGAGATGTGTCAAATTCAGAGAAACATAGTTAACACTTACTGAAAAAAACTTTTACTCTTCCATTTTTACTTTTGTTTTTCTAGCAACATTAATGGGGATCTAATTTAAAATGGACTTTAAGTAACAATTCTTTGTTTTTTGTCTTTTTTTCCGTGTCCGGCAACGGATCGCAACCCTCAGTGTTGCCCCCGTACCGGACCGGGACCGGCAACGGGATCGCAACCCTCGGCGTTGCTCCCGCACCTTGCTCAGCCAGCGAGCGGGAACCAGTCTGTATGCGGGATCCGAATCCTCGGCAGAAGTGCCACCACGCTCGCAAGCGGCGCACTATAGCAGTGCACCACCGGGCCGGCCCTAAGTAACAATTCTTAAAATTGCCTTTCCTTTCCATTTCTACTCCTCTCTTTTTTAAAAAAATTTTTATCAATATGCAATGTAGTTGATTTTCGTGTCCCTTTACAGATTCCTCCTTCCCCTCTCCCTCTGTCCCCTCCCCCCCATCAACATAATTGACTTGCTTGATCAGAACATGAAATGAGGGCTGAAGTGCCAGGACTGAAGCAGAGAATCATTCCATTGGTGTTACTGGACCATCCATGCTTGTCAGGTAGCTTCATCCCCGAGGTAGCAGAACAGCAGTTGCTGGAGAGAACAGAAAAACCAAGCATACATCCTAAAATAGAACAAGGATTTCTTATTTTTAAATCTTGTCCCATAAAAGGCTGGATTTTAGGCTTCTGGGGAGAAAACCTAATAACTGACACCTGAAGCTACTGGTTGAACTCATATACACACATCTAAACACACACAAACACATTTATAGGTAGTCACACATACTACGGGAAAAGACACACATGTTATCATCTTTGCCATCACTTTTTAAATTTGTGTTTTTCAGATCAGTCTTCTAGAAATGGAATATTTGCTCCGTGGGGCTTTGCCTGCAATTCACGTATGTTGATATTAGAGAGGTGGTGGTCATGGGTTAAATCACAAGGTCTAAATAGCTGAGCTTTCCATATGCATCATCAGCAGTTAGCGAGAAACTAGCATGTTTTATCATTTAATTTTGTTATTGGTCTGTTTTGCAAGGCAGTATAATGCAATGATTAAACACAAACTCCAGAGCTACACTGCCCAGAGTCAAATCCTAGCTTCCTGTTTACTGACCGTGTGACCTTGAAAAAGTTACTTAACCTCTCTGTGCCTCAGTTTTCTTCTCTGGAAAAAAAAAAGGAGGATAATAAGAGTATCTCCTCACAGTGTTGTTTTGAGAAGTACATATAATTAGAACAGTGCCTGACACATAGTAAGCTCTATATAAGCATTAAAGGTTTTTGTTTGCAAAATAAAATTTTTTATAAAACTGTCCCACAGAAGCATTAACCAACATTACTAATCACTGTACTTAAATAAGGTAAAGCAATATAAATGCAAAGGAAGAAAATTGTACATTTCTCATTACTTCTTAACTGTTACATATCACCACTTAATTTTACCGCTAAATTTAAGTTGAAGATAATTTAAGATAACACTCGTTATGTAAGGATTAGATGAGATCATGTATATAAAGTGCCTACCCCAAAGAAAATGCTCAATAAATTGCGGCTAATAACAGTACTAACAACAATTTGTCTGAAGTCATCAAATGAGCACGTGGCAGAGCTGAGATTCACAGTTCTGTGTGATTCCAGCAGTCCTGATCTTTTCACCACACAAACCAACTCGCTTCCGACTCTGGGGAAGTCCTGTCCCAGTTCGGGTGCTCTTTCCTGAAGGGCTTGGCGCCTGGAGGGTCCTCTGAGCCTGCCTTCCTCATCTGCCTTTTGCCTACCAATCATGCACATGTGTGTATGTGTCTGTGTGTTCTTCTTTGTTGATATGCAAAGGGTTTTTAGAATTCTGTATAGAAGAGTTAAAGGCAAACTCCCCACTGTAACCTTGTACCTTTAAGCCAGACTACTTCCTACATACCCACTTTGTACCAGTTACCCATCACACACAAGCCATGGGCACCCACACTGCTGTCTTTGTTCTTTTGGCTCCAGTTCCTGCTCAGCTCCTGACCCTTGGTTTGACTTCCTCTTTGAGGGGGTACTTGGGGTTTTTTACTGGGTGTTCTCAGCTCAAGATCCTGACTCCTCTTCATGAGCTTTGACTCAGGTTCATTTTCCTTGGTTTTCCCAATATTGAGGCCATCATTAGCCATTTCTTTTAAAAAATGAATCCCTACTCTCACTCTTAACACTGCCTTCCCTTCTCTCCTGATTTATTTTTATTTATAGTACCTATCACCTCTAACATACAATATATTTTACTTAAATCTCTATTATAGTCTGTCTCCTTTAAGGTAGGCTCCACGAGAGCGGGGATTTCCTCTTTTATCCACTACTAAATCCTCAGCACACAGAACATTGCCTGGCACAGAGTAGACACAATAAATATTTGCTGAATGAATTGGTCAGACAGTATGATAGAATGAATAGTGCTTTGCCTCTGGAGCCAAACAGAGCCATGTTCAGACTTTAGCTCTGCCACTCATCAGTATGTGACCCTGAGCCATTTTTATGCCCTCTCTGTGCTTACATTTTCTCATTTGTAAAATAAAAATCTCAACAGAGCTCATTAGGTGTCCCCAGATACCCATTCTCTCTTTCCTCCAAACCGGAGATCGGTAAACTTTTTTCTTAAAGTCCAGAAAGAAATATTTTGAGCTTTATGTGCCATCCAGTCTTTGTTGCAACTATTCAACAATGCCATTCTATTGAGAAACCATCATAGATAATACGTAAATGAATGGGAGTGCCTACATTCCAATAAAATGTTGTTTACCAAAGAAAGATTGTTGGACCTCAGACTGTAGTTTGGTGACCCTGTAACTGGATACATGGCTGCCCAGCTGAAGTGCACATTTCCTTTGCAGCTGGGTCAAGACAATAGGATGTGAATAGAACAAGGTGCTTAACTTTTAGATTGTGTCCTTAAAAGAAAACTACATATCTTCTCCTTCCCCATATTTCCCACTGGCTGGAATGCAGACCCGATAGCAGAATCCAGAATTGCCATCTGGGATCATGAGGTGGAAGCTGAGTATTGGAGATAGCAGAGCAACAGCACAGAAGCAGCCCCGATCCTCAACGTGGTATGCCAGAGGAACCCTAAACAGCCTGCCTGACCTTTTTTGTGGACATAAATATATTTCTATTTTGTCTAAGTCACTGAATTTTAAAAGTATTTTTTTGTTACAACAATCTAACATGTACCCTAACTAGCAAATAACTACCTCCCAGATTATCGTGATTATTCAACAAGATAGTCCATATAAAGCATTTAGCATAATGTTTTGCACAAAGTAAATAGTAGCTTTCATTATGATTTGTGTTATTAGTGATTTCATTCCTCTTCTCCATTCTTTCCCTTCTCTGGTATCTTTAAATAGTTTATCCTAACCTAAATTTGGTTCCCTCAAGACCCAGTGTTTGGTCAGGCCCAAAAACCTTTGAGATGGATTCAGCAATCTCCTATCCCATAGGCTCAACAACTCCCCACTCATGTAGGAAGGGAATTTAAACACAAAGAACCAGATTTTGCCCTTTTCCTGAATAAAGCATAAATAACACATTTAACTGATTTGGGCCTTTTTTCACATTCTTAACAAATTAGATAAGCAATCTAATTGTCTTCAAATTGTAGCACACATAACTCGAGATCAGTGGTTCTCAATTGAGGATGATTTTGCCCCCACCCCCAGGGAACATTTGGCTATATCTGAAGACATTTCTGGTTGTCACATCTGGATGGGAAGCTACTACTGGCATCTAGTGTGTAGAGGACAGGGATAGTGCTAAACACCCTACAATGAACAGGAAGCCCCCACAATGAAGAATTATCCGGACTAAAATATTAATAGTGCTACTGTTAGGGAACCCTTCCCTAGAGGTACCCAATGACTTCCCAGGGAGGTATGAAAACAGGGAGAGTTTTAAGAAGACTAATTCCCAATTTGTATATGGACAGTTCTCAAAAAGTGATCTGCTATGAATGTGCCTGAGGTTGACAAATCATCCTGGGTCTTCTTCTCACCTCTCCTCACAATTACCCATCTCCCATGTCAGAAGAGAAAAGACTACCTGTCAGGCATCTTGTGGATGCAGTCACTTTCTTCTCTGAGGTCCCAGAGTACAGCAGAGCAC